CTATGGCCATGGTCCCGCCTACAGCAGGGATGTTACACCCCAACTATGGCCATGGTCCCGCCTATAGCAGGGATGTTACACCCAAACTGAGGCAATGGCCCCACCTACAGCACAGATGTTAAACCCCAATAACGGCAATGGTCCCACCTACAGCAGGGATGTTACACCCCAACTGGGGCAATGGTCCCACCTACAGCAGGGATGTTACACCCCAACTGGGGCAATGGTCCCACCTACAGCAGGGATGTTACACCCCAACTATGGCAATGGTCCAGTCCCAACTGCGCTGGCAGTTAGGAAATCCCAACTATGGTGTTGGTTATAGTTCAAAATTTTCCAAGGCTTTTTAAAGGCACACACATACTTCACTGTTTTCATGCATTTCGGTCAGTAAGCATATGACTTTCGGGGAGAAATTTCCATCAAAAAACCGACCAACTAAAAACATATTCCTAAAGTATGTGGTCATATCAGACAACATGCGCACACACATGACACATCACAGCAAAATAAAGACACTTGAAAGCCCGATATCCTATGATACAACATACCTTATAACCTCCAATTGATCTGCAATGCTTAACCCTAACCTTCCCCAACCACACAGAATTAAACAGTAGTAAAGTGTTTAATTCTGTGGGGATAGGTCTGGTAGGCCCATAACAACTGGCTTTTGCATTGGGTTTGGCATACCTCAGAAAAACAAAGTCCAACAGCCTCTGCGCACAAAGTCCCATGTGGGTGTTTAACTTTGTGTGAATGGGGAAGGTTAGGGCCAGCAACCCTTGGGGGTTAGGGTTAACCCTCCTAGGGTCACTCTTTGGGTCACTTGGTAAACACCTCAAAGAAGCACAGCTGTGTCGTGTTGTGCACTGCACCAACGTGCAAGAGAGTGACCTTGGGCACTTGTGCACATTTGTGCTGTAAAACCAAAGGAGGGTTAATGTAAAATGCTGTATCTAGTCTATAGAATAGAAATTGTGTTACCAACGCGGTAACCAGTGCCGCTAAATAAGAAAACAAATAAGAGCACCTCACAGATAGATGAGGAGTAGGAATCTCTGTCCCTGTCATCGTTGCTGCTCAGAGTGCTTCGGCCATTGGGGTGGAACATTGTGTCATCCATCTGCCGTCCAACGCCAAATCCGTTCATGAATGATGGGTCAGGCTGGTCTCAGACCTGTTGGTATCTTAGAGTGGTGTATTTGTCAAGGTGATTTCACATTAATATTTAGGTTTGTATCGCTCAGACTGGAACAAAAAATCGGTCGGTAGGGGAATTTGTTATTTTGGGGGTGTGGTCAACGCAGAAAAAAATGAACTTTTGTTCCAGCACACCTTTGTTAGAGAAGATTTGACAGGTTTCTGTCAACTTTTTTGCACCAGTTGGGTGCACTGAAAACAGGAACCAGACCAGTCTACAAAAAATGGATCTCAGACTTTGTTTCCATTAAAAAAATCCTCTAAGGTATGAATCTACCAAAACAGAAAAGGAAAAAATGGAAACATGTACAGAAAATAAACATGCGATCCGATTTAAAAAATAACGGAAATAATAGAAGAAAAAAAAAGAAGGAAAAATCACGTCATGCAGACGCGATCCCAGCACATCGGGATTACAGAATGGTGTGCATACAGAAATTAAAACCTTATACATGCATAATACATAGACTGCCAATGATTACTGTGCGATGCCCAAACTATAGAATTTGGAAGTCACGTTACTGTTACCATAACTACATGTATAGCCACTTAGTTTCCTTAAAACATTTCAAAAGTCACTGTTTTAACGCAGTAAACATGGAAACAGTTCCATACTACAAAGTACAGATATCACTTTGCAAAAAAAACCTGCCAGACTGATCTCAAAAATTCGAAGTATTTTCAAAGTGAATGCTTTGATATTTTCCTTGCTACACTTTACTCTTTTGGACATGTGACATTATCACTTTCTGATGGCTGAATGACAAACCACTTTTAGGGGAAAATCGGTGATGTCTGTAGGCTTTATATGAGCTTCTTCCCACAGAATTTCTAGTGTTATTACCTTTATAGCAGGCCGAACATCATCATACAAAAATTGAAGAGGCTATTGTCACAGTAATCACGGTAAACATAACGTGACTCCCAAATTCTATACTTACGGCACTGCGCAATTATCATTGTAAGGTATATAAGGTTTTACTGCCCCACTGTGGCATTGCAGTAGCCCCAGTGCACACACTGGTCAACATGGAATTCGGTGGCAGGGGAGGACATCTTGTGTTGTTTTCATTGTGGGACCATCCTGGCTGCTGCTGTGACCTGTAAACATACATCGGGTGAGAAGCGCGACATGTGCTGCGCCGTGTTTGTATATGTATGGGGCAGCGCGGTCATCCGGGAGTTTCACAAAAATATGGGTAGCAACCACACCGCCCCAATGAAAACAACTGCAAGGAGCACATGCGTACGTACAGATCAAAGAAAGATTATATAACCTGATCCTCGGACTGGCAGGTGCGTGCGTACGCCGCCAAGGTCGCTGTTTTCACCGGCACAGTACCTGTCATTTTGCGAGAATCCCGGATGTCTGCGCTGCCCCATAGCTGGGACAAATACAACACAAGATGTTATCCCCGCCACCGAAAATGGTCGAGCCAAGATGCTGAGCAAGCGCGGTCATTGGTGGGTTCGACGCATGCGCAGTCTGATAAACACGACGGCATAAACGGGGCGACAGTCAACGGGTGGAAGCAAGAAATTGGTGAACAAAAATCTCATTTTTTTTTCAAAAAACTCCGTCTCATGCTCTGAAACTTGGTTATCGCGCTTTTCAGGAGGTACAGATTAAGCAGGTTTGCTGACAGCGGACATGGCGAAAAATTTGATTTATAATAGCAATAAAAGTTGACACCCTGCGCCCTGTCATGCCTGTGCACAAACCTATGAGACTTGTCTGAAAAACACTCCTAGGCTAAGTGTTTTCTATCCAAGTAAAGTATGGTGCCTCTGAAGTTTCTCAGCTAAATTCACCTTTTTGGGACATGTTAGGATTATCACTTTCTGAACAGTACTTACCCTACTCCCTAGGTAGGCCTATTTAAGTATGTTATTTTCAACCCGCCCAATATTCCTTCCTCCTTAACGGAACTCTTCCCAAACATGCCAAAAGGCATTGCATTTTCATGTTCAATGAATAGTTCCTTATTAGGAATTCAAGCCTGACCATCAAACTAGGACTAACGTTAGAACTACACACATGCACATGGCCTACTATATAGGACAATATACCCAGCAAGAAATGAGACCGAGGGGTACCCCCCAACCTGTCCAATCCCTATACACATTCCAGACTGTTG